AAATGAAAAATTTAGTATAGGTTTGCAGAATGACATATTTATGGATTAATTTTCGTGTTTATGGTCCTTCAACGTCTGTTAGGATTCATCTGTTGAATATACCCAAATTGGTGAAGGGTATCATATAGTGGGCCCGGTCCGACTTCTCTACTTTCCTTACTGCTTTAATTTTAGAATAATTTTTCAACAACATTTTTTTTTCAAAATCCACACCTTCCGATTTTTAAAGATATTTTTTCCAGAAATATCATTTTATTGGCTTCCGTTACAAATCACATAAAAACCTCGTATTGAACTCCATTAAAAATCCACATTTAAAAACGAAAACAAGTTAACAACAAATTTCACACACACTTGCCCTCTTTCAATTATTTTCTTTTCACCTACCTCCCCCTGCCTCTCACTTAATAGATGTACACTCGACCAAGTAGAGCATTCACCTCAATTTAATAGGTCTCCTCTTGCAGTCAGCATCAACAGAAACAACAACAATAGCTTGGAGGACAGATTGTTATTATTTTCATGATTGTTTTCGGTATTGTTGTTGTTGTTGTTCTTGTTGTTATTGCCATCCAATTAATTTATACTTTATTAATAATACATTTTCATATTGAAATTCGAAAAGAAAAGTAAAGAACAAATACTCAAGCAATTGATGTGGCCCTGACGCCTTTTCTGTGGTCGTGTGTGTATGAGAGAGAGAAAGAGAGAGGGAGAGTCTCGGTGTGTTAGTAAGACTATTGACCTTTTATAGGCAAATAACAAAAAGAAACACTACAAAATAATTGTACCGCACAAGATATTAATTACATTGAGTGCCAGGGCATTTTATGAGTTTATTGCTATTTTGCTTAGACTGACAGACTATTCCATGGAAATTTTTGAAACATTTCAAATATTTGGATTTTATTAGTATGGTTAAATGTTCATAGCTTCGATGTATTGGAATCAAATGTCAATTGCAATTTGTAAATTTTAAGAAGAATTGTTGTTGTTAATTGTCATTAAAGAATTGTAGTTTATCCTATAATTATGGGATTTGTGTGTGTATTTACACAGAACAGAACATAATCGATAATCTAATAATTCGTAATATGATGGCGTATACTTAATGTCAGCAATTATACGCCATGATTGTTTGCCAATAAATATTAATGATGGCCATTGGTCATTAACATAATTGGGAATATGTATTTCAATATTGTTATCTTTAAATGGCGTTCGGGTTGGAAATAATGGATATCACATTTAATATTTGTATAACAAACGCAATAAAATATAATTGGAATTATTTAGGGAAGATTATATTAAGGATATATTGAAAACATTATTTTCAAGTTCCCAACAAAAGCATGGATTTTTCAAAAATATTTTTTCAACGACCTGCAAGTGGAGTGTATTTTTATACCCCTCACCACACTGTGGTACAGGGAATTATGTCTTTGTGCATATGTTTGTCATAGGCAAAAGGAAACGAGATAGACACATGGTTCCTTTTGAGAATATGCATATAATCACTTTCCGAGTCGATTTACGCATGTCCGTCTGTCTGTCCGTCCGTCCATGTATTTTTGTGAAAAAAGTACAGGCCGCATTTATGATTCGATTTGGCTGAAATTTGGCATATGTCACTTAGTTGGCCCAAGGATGAACCCTATTGAAATTGGGACTAATCGGTTCAGATTTATATATAGCTCCCATATATATTTTCTTACGATTTAAGGTAAATGGTGTACCAAAGACCCTATATATCTCTCGATTTGCACGAAATTTGGCACAGCGTAATGAACTAGGTCTAGAATGATGTGTGTTAAGTTTCGTGAAAATCGGTTCAGATTTAGATATAGCCCCATATATATTTTCGTCCGATTTCAGGTAAGTGGTGTACCAAAGTGCCTTAATATCTTTCGATTTGCACGAAATTTGGCACAGCGTAATAAATTAGGTCTAGAACGATGTGTATAAAATTTCTTGAAAATCGGTTCAGATTTAGATATACTTCCCATATATATTTTCGTCCGATTTAAGGTAAATGGTGCATCCAAGTTCCTATATATCTTTCGATTTGCACGAAATTGGGCACAGCGTAATGAATTAGGTCTAGAATGATGTGTGTTAAATTTCGTGAAAATCGGTTCAGATTTAGATACAGCTTCTATATCTGACCAAATGAAAAATTTTGTATCGGTTGCTGAATGATATGTTTATGGGTCCAATAATGATACGACCTACAATAGGGGTGGATTTACATTTTTTTTTGTGGATTTTTTAAGAATATTTTATAAGCACCTGTTATGTTGGTGGATTTTGTCGTGCCCCCCTGACGTATAAGTATTAGTTGTAATTAATATTAAGCATACGCCTATGTGCTCCACCAAATCTAATTAATATTAATCATACGCCATGATGACTATTTTTTGCTAAATAAATATATTTTGGATGAAAAACTTCCTGATTTTTTTTAATTCTCTGAAAGAGAATTGCTGCGAATATTTTTGAAAAAAAAATAAAACAAAAAAATCCAAGCCCTAGGAAAATATTTTATTATAATCCCCATATGATCAGCAAATTTCTAAAAAAAATATGTTTTTAAAATCCTGGCTTATATGCTGCTTGAAAAAAATAGTCTTTCAGACAGCAATGACGATCTGCTTCTTAAGATATTTGTAGATCCTTTACTAAACAAAAATTATTTTCAATTTCAAAAATTAGTTTTTTTTTCCCATTTTTCCTTGGTAAAATCCCTTCCAACGAGTATTTAAATTTTTAATACGCTTTGCCCTTGGTACCAAAAGCATTTTTTTGTTTGTGTCGACTTCGCACCAGATTAGAAGTTAATGCATATGTAAATATGCTTACAAGTTAGTAAAGGGTCTAGTGAACATTAATTGTTAAGGAGAGTTTGTCAGTGGTTAGTTGGTTAGTTCATTTTGTCAGCCACCCCCCCCCCCCTCGATCTCCCCAAAAAAAGGAGACATAGTGGCATTTAAAACACATCTCAACAAGCAAAAATGCTGAGAAAATAAAAATCACAAAAAAAAATCCAATTAAAGAGCACTCTTTGGCATTAAACACATAGCATTTGCAGGATGTGCAGTAGTAGCACACTAGGCAGGGAGGTTTAGAGGGAGGAAATGGGGGAATTTGGCACTGCCGCATACTGAATATTTGGTTTTTTCGGTAGGAAAAAAGCTTGAAAACATTTTATAGAGGCGGCTGTCAATAGACAACATGTCGTTGGAACATGTCATAGGTATGTTGGGGAATGTGTGCTCACTTTTGTTTTTTTTTTTTTTTTTGAGAGAGAAAAAAAAATCTAGCTGACAACTCATAACGTTGTTATAAAATATATCACACTCGCACAAACACACGCACACACTGCCACTACACTTTCTACCACAGCTACTCTGCCAGACTTGTCTCTCCACACAGAGATGTGAACAGCTTTAGGTGGCTGTGTGTGTATATCCTGTTTCTATGGTAACCAGGAAGTTGTAGCAAATATTTTTACGCACATTAATGAGAATTTCATCAGATGTGAATTTTGTAGTTTTGTTTAGATTTTTTCTCTTTTTTTTTGAGTGCAGAATAGATTTTGATGCATGACTTGCATTTTAAGCATGGTTGGATTAAATCTTAGGCAATATACAATGTCATCCCGCCAGGGCGTATACGTATTAGTTATTGTTATTATTGTTAAACATACGCACAGGTAAGCTTTTAATTAATAGAAATAATATTAATCATACGCAAAGGTGTGTTGCTAATTAAGAGAAATAATATTAATCATACGCTAAGCTGAATATTATAATTTTCGAGAATCGTTGAAAAAATATTATTTTTATACCCTTTACCACACTGTGGTACAGGGTATTATGTCTTTGTGCCAATGTTTGTAACAGGCAAAAGGAAACGAGATGGACCCATGGTTCCTTTTGAGAATATGCATAGAATCACTTTCTAAGTCGATTTATGCATGCCCGTCTGTCCGTCCGTCCGTCGGTCCATGTTAAATTGTAAACAAAGTGCAGGTCGCATTTATTATCCGAATAAGATGAAATTTGGCACAGATCATTTATTTGGCCCAGCGACGAACCCTATTGAAATTGTGAAAAATCGGTTCAGATTTAGATATAGCTCCCATATATATATATTCGTCCGATTTTTCGCCTATGGTGCACTAAAGATTTAAAGGGTGTTCGATTGGCACAACATTACGCGCAATATTGTCAAAGTGGTAAAGGGTATCATATAGTCGGCCCCGTCAGACTTTACTACTTTCTTTACTGGTTTTTTATTAAAAAATGTTTTCTTGAAAAAGTGATTAAAAAATACGAGCCATATTCACAGGCTTCTGAGCTCTGAACCCTATCAAAAAATTATTTTTTCCTGTCATTAAAAGGAAAACCACGAAGTATCTCTCTTCTTTAATACCATGAAACGACAAATGTCATTGCAATATTTCTGTTAGTTATTCAACAGTATTGCAGATAGCAAAATGAACCCAAAAATTTACAAATTCTACGAAAAAGAAACGGAAAAACAAAACATGATTGAAAATTTCATTTTATTTAAAATAAATGCAATTATTTTCAATTGTTGTTTCTGTTAACACACAAAATTTACCTCTGGAGAAAACTTTTTTTTCGATACAACATCGTTTTTCTTGCAATTTGGTGACATGGGACTGAACACTAATGAAATGAAGTGAAAACCATCGGGATATTTCATGACATGACCAATGAAAAAAAAGGAAATATTTTTTCCCTTTACCATTGCCTGCATGCGAATATCAGGTTTACTGGGATGACATGGCCGGCTGGGGTTAAGAGACAATTTCAATTTAATGAAAATAATTAATATAATTTTTCCCATCATTTATTTTAATAGCGAACACTCTCTCGGTCGGAGGTCAATGGTCTACGAAGAAAAAAAAAATTGTGTGTTCACCAAGAAAAAAGTTTATGTATGTGTATATATTTTTTGTAAGCGCGAAAAATTTATTCCTTCACACCATGCACTTGACGACATTCCTCCAACTCAGCATAAAAAGCCAATTTCATATGCAGTAGAGTATCAATGAAATATTTTTGAAAATTATTTGAATTTAATTTCTTCGCACCCAAGGCATAATAACGTCCCCGATGATTTTCGAATTGGTAAATAACATTTATTGGGTAATCCCGCGGCAAGAGATCACACACATTTATATGAAAAAATACCTTGGCAATGGCCAAGGGATTTGGACACTGGGGTGTGGGTTTTGAAAAGTGGGCCTCCACAAAATAACGCTTACCAAAGGGTGGTATTTCCGCACTCATCTCCTGAGCAATTACAACAAATTTGGTGGCCGGTGTGAGTTCCCAATTTTCTATAAATTGTGTTATTTGTCTCACCACTGAGGGGAAATTGAAATCCTGCAGCAGACACCAAGGTTCTTGGGGCATCCGGGATGATGCATCACTGCTGCTGCTGCTAGAGGTACTTGGCATGGTAAAAGAATCACTGCTGTTATCATTGATTTCGTTTTCGAGTTTTGTTTTCTTCGAATTTCTTTTCCAACCATTGGGATTTTTGTAGAGAAATTCTCCATCGGGATCGGCATTAATATAACCGGCAGCAGTTTGTACAATATCTTCAAGAATCACCGCAAGGCCTTCAATGTCCAATGGTGGTGGCTTGGCTAATTCTTTTAATTCAGAATCGCGTACTAAATTCAAAGGTCCCAAAGCTTGTTCGTACATTTCTACAAAAATATATTTGACATTCGAGATAAAAATTATTTTTGAAAAAATATTTTTAAAGCAACCGCGTTTTTAAAAGGTTCCTGAAAAATATTAAAAAAACACTTCTATAAGTGGTCTCAGATAAATGTAAAATCCACACCTATTATAGGTCGTTGAAAAAATATTTTAAAAAAATCCACGCCTATTGGAGGCAGGTCGTTGAAAAAATATTTTTTAAAAATGCAAGGCTATTGTTGGTCGTTGAAAAAATATTTTTAAACAACCCACGCCTACTGTAGGTCTTTGTAGCCTATGCTGGGGACTATGTTTCCAACAACAATCCGTTTTGTACTCTAAATTTATAAAATTAGTACCATCGTTTTCCTACTTTAAGGCTTGATTGTGACCTATTGACTTTTAAATTCCTTTTTAATTTTTCTCTCTTTATTCCCAGTTCGTTTTCCCAATTATTTATTTTAAAAAAATATTTTTTTGTTTAATGCATTATGACTTCATTTTTATTACTGCACTTCTTGTGAGCACTTAATTTCCCCCTCATCTAATGCCTTTTGAAGACATTTGGCATTAGAAAAACAAAACAAGCAAACAAAAAAACCTATTTAAAATCATCAACAGAAAAACAACTTGGACTAACAACATATCCATTTGCAATCAGTTTCATGTTCATATCCTAAATCCCCTCATTTCCCATTTTCCCTCCCCTCTTTCCGTCCCCTTTTTTCCTCCTTTATGAAGAGAAAATATTTGCTGTTGCTCCACTGACTGATATACTTCTATACTTGATTGATGTTTTCTTGTTGTGAGGTAGTTTTTTTTTTTTTTTTTTTTTTTTGTTTTGCCAAAGACATCCTGGCAGCTGCAATTCGAATAATCTCTGGGGATGGGAATCTACACATTTCCATTTGCAACGCATTTGCAGTAGAAATTAGCAATGGCTTCCTCTGCCATTTGCCTGACAACAAAATGGCTAAAGAAGGCTCTACGTTATTTCAACTTCAAACAACAAATTAACAACTTGTCTGTGTGTGAGTGTTTTCGTTTTTTATTCTAAGGTGGATTTTTATAAGGTATGAATGAGTTGTTTTATGTTTGTTATTTCATTCCCCATATAGAAATACACACACACAGACAATGCATACTTAAGGCATTGTTTGCAGTAAGGTCTTCTTAATGCAATAAAGGCAACAACAAGGAAAAAACAACACCAACTCTAAGTATACGCACAAACAAATTATGATGAGAAGCAATTCCATCAGCTAACACATGCACACACACTTCATTATCCGTTAACACACGTGCAACAACAATACTCCTTTAGTGTTGGTATTATCTTCTTGTTTTTGCTCTCTCTCTTCTTCATTTTCTGCTTTTTCATGCCGGTTGTTGTGATGATATTTGCTTCCAAATGTGGTTGTGTAATGGGCTTATATTTCAAGTCATCCGGTACTGTTGTAGTTATTTTGTTTACTTCTCACACTTTGCCACTCCCTCCCTCTCTCTCTCTCTCACCTAAACTCACACTCTCCAGCAACGGCTTAGTCTTATTATTTTTTTTTTGTTCCCTTCTTGTTTTTCCAACTTCCTGTTGTGTGTAAAAATTTAATTAATATTTGTTGTTACAACAGCACAGTCACAACAACAACAACAACAACAAAACCCCTTGTAGGAGAGACCCAAGTCGTATACATAACTGAAGATCCCGAAGAACTAACAGACACGAACACACACGTACGTAGAGCCGAATGTACGAAAACAACAATAGCCAACTACGGTGAGAAGCAACAGTATAACGTACTGTTTAGTCTATGCTCTATTAGTAAGGAGAGGTAACTACAGTGTACACTGCATGTGAGAGTGCGAGGAAGATGAAGAGGGAGAGAGAGCGAGCGAGTGAGTGTGGTAATGTTTGAGAACAGTAGTCGAAAGTATGTTTATTATGTGCTCATAGTAATTGTAACTTCCTGCTTTAATGGAAGTAAACTATGTTACACAGACAAAAACAAATGATCTGATGTGTGTGTGTGTCTGTGTGTTCGTGTGAAAGCATGCCAGTTGGTTATGTTTGGGCACCAACAATGAGTACGATTTTTATGAGTGTTGTAGTCATTCATTCATTTTAACAGCTCTGAACAGACAAATTCTATTTAATAATGTGGTTGTTAATTTGGAAAAAAAATATCAGAATTTTTATCAGTAAATACAAATGGTCAAATGAGCATGCAAAAACATGATAAAGTGGTTTGATTAGATATTAAAAAAATTAAATAATTTTTCTGAGAATCTTTTGGTTTTTATAAAGATTTATTGAAATATCGATTCAGATTAATAGGGAGAATCTAAGATCTATTCTAGCAAATCAATGACAGTTGGTATCGATTAATGACTTCGGATCTATATAAATGTATCTAAAGCTATATGGGACCAAGGAACTAAGGGTAATGTGATATGGGCTGAAGAATGAATTTTACCATATTTTTAGAGTTCCCTATAGGTTCTCAAGTGTTAGAAAATTGCCTTAAGAGGTTTGTGCAGGTTAGGTAGAGCCCTACACAAATCCGTATATTTGAGGAAGAGAACAGTAGAGGTACTTAAAGGTAATGTGGAGCTATGAAGCGCTCTATTTAGTTTAGCAGGGGCTCTAAATCGGTCTTCTGGCCTAAGGAGAACCTCATAAGTGCCGTCAAAGATAAATAATAAAAAAAGAAAGTATGTGTTCGTATATGTATGATACTCTAGGCTATAGAGGAGTCATATAAAATTTCGAGAGCAGGCTCCTAGCGAAAAGTAGGAACATTGTAAAACAATTTGATTATTTCAGAATTTTTAATTTGTTTATTAATTATATATTAAATTTTATTTACTTGTTATATTTTATTTCCAATATTATTTTTGTAAAATTTCTTTCCCATTTTAATGTGCAAATATAGTTACTAAAATTTCTATACAGACACACACACACACTTTATCATCATTGCACTTCGTGGTGAGCTGGACTTCATCGACAATAATACGTGTCCTGTTCCATAGAACGCAAAAAATTCTGAACATATTTATTTATGTGAATGTGTTATATTTAGACTCATTTACTTACACGCACACACACATAGATATAGGTAGTAACAAAAAAAGCTGAATTTCGAAGCCGAAAATATTCCGCGTACAAAAAGTTCCTGACAACATTACATTGTAATAAAATTTTGCAGTTATTTTTATAAAGCACGAAATGTCAACAGGAGGGTATAGCAGGGTAGGCATTCAATTGGGATTTACTTCATAATAATTATTAAAGGAAAATTAACAAAAAATTTAGGAGGACTTCAAAAAAATTTAAAAAGAAAATCCAGGCCTATGGGTAGACCCTATAAAACATTTAAAAAAATCCAGGCCTATGGGTAACCTTAAAAAAATAAAAAAAATCAACGCCTGAGGGTAGACTTTAAAAATTAAAAAAAATCAACGCCTAAGGGTAGACCCTAAAAAATCCACGCCTTGAAAAAATTATTTAAAAAAATCCACGCCTTGGAAAAATTATTTAAAAAAATCCACGCCTTGGATAAAATTATTTAAAAAAATCCACGCCTTGGAAAAAATTGTTTAACAAAATCCACGCCTTGGAAAACATTATTTAAAAAATTCAGGCCTTGGAAAAAATTATTTAAAAACCCACGCCAATGGCCTTGAAAAAAATTATTTAAAAAAATCTAGGACTTGGAAAAAATTATTTAAAAAATCCACGCCTCTTGTTTGACTTGAAAAAAATTATTTAAAAAATCCACGCCTTTTGGTTGACTTGGAAAAAATTATTTAAAAAAATCCATACTTTGGAAAAAATTGTTTAAAAAAAAATCCACGCCTTAGAAAAAATTATTTAAAAAAAAATCCAGGAAAAAATTATTTAAAAAAATCCAGGCCTTGGAAAATTTTTTTTAAAAAATCCACGCCTTGGAAAAAATATTTAAAAAAATCCACGCCTTGGAAAATATTATTTAAAAAATCCACGCCTTGGAAATTTTTTTTTTTAAAATCCACGCCTTGGAAAAAATTATTTTAAAAAATCAACGTCTTGTATAGGCCTTGTAAAAAATTCTATGGCATCCCTATGGTTCCTTTATGTGTACTGTAAAAAAACATAAAAATAACCTAAACAGGTATGCAGACCAGTAACCATAAAACTTAAAATGCATAGAAGCTATAAACTTTGTGTGCGAGTGTGCGTGTGTGTGTGTTTAAATCCTTTGCCATGTTATTACTCTTGTCGTTTGTGTTTTAGGCACGACAAAGCCTTTACAAGGAGAAAGACATAACGCAAAAAGAAGCCAACTGCCAACCGGGTTTAAATTAAATAATGCCCACATACACACACACACACAAACAAAAAACATTTGTTTAATTATTCTCGTGTAGATTTTTTTGTTCAATTCCGACGAAAAAAAATTAATTTAAATAACACATCATTAAAAAGGGTGTGCCAACGACCAGAGGAATTCCTAGAGAAGGAAATATACATGTCTACACGTTCTGGGCAATATTTTACATTTTATTTGGTCACACATAGAAATACGAAAAAAAGAAATTAACAAAGAAGGAAAGACGTAGAAGAAGAAGCAGTTACTACCAAAGAAACGCAAAATAGCTAGGGGACCATTAACATGACAACAAGATGGTAAACGTGTAATGATAAGGTGTTTTATTTGTTGGTTGCTGGTGGGGGAGGGAGGGAGGGTCTGCAGAGAGTGTCAAATTTAAATTAAGGAATAACTTATGTTGGCATATGAAAGTTAAGGCGTATAAATGCCATTGTTGTGTACTTTCTGTTATCATCATTGCCCAAAACATGCTGAAGTTTTTCTTTTTCTTTTTCTTTTTGTTTTTTGTTTTTATTTTATTTATTTTTTGTTTGCTAGCATTAAAGTAATCCCTTGAAGGAAATTTTTGGCGGACGTACGAAATTTTAAATGTCAATTGTGGGACTCAATTCTGAGGAGCTCGAACAGTAA